GGAGGTATCCTCCTGCTTGTCTCACACAGGAAGGAGGTTGTGGATACCAGCCATTTTAAAAGGTTTCTATTCTGAGCAATAGTGAAATCTCAGGTGCTTTCAAATAGGTACAGTTCCTCGATGTAACTCAACCATAGACTTAATACTTTGAAGCTATGAATATATATTTGGAGAAATGCTTCTCCACTATAAATGGGACATTGCTCACAGATTACAAATGTGGCTCGGCAGGTTTTTCACCTCCTGCCACTTCCCTTCCTCTCCCATTGCTCTTTGTCCACAGCTTTACAACAACCACTGGATACCAGTGAAGTTGAAAACAGTGTCTTCTATTATACTCCTGCTAAAATTTTCATAGCAAGTAAAATTAAAAATACTTCTCAGAGAAGATGACACTGTACCTGCAAAAAGAATCAGCTAAAAACATATATGCAATCATATAACACAGATAAGGCTGTATCAGACATCCTGGATCTGTTGAATGAAATGGGATTATGAGTTGGCATTGCTTTGAGGTGATTTGTTATTCACTATGTAGATCACTAAGGTATTTTCTGCTCAATTTACTTTGTACTGAAGATTTGTTCCGTACTTGTTTCCTGTAATTCTCTCTCCCAAAGCAGTGTTATCAAGTGGATGTCACTTAGGAATGCAGGTCTATTATCATAACTTTACCAAATTGATAAGCAATGGTAGGAATAATTTTTCCTTCTAATTTCCTTGAAAACATTATGTCCTATAGCCAGAACTCCATACTGTGTGATTTAACAGCATGATCTTCAATTAATCTGCAGCTGTGGCATCAGAGCACAGTGACAAAACAGAAAAACCCAAATCTGTCCCCTAACCCGTGAAAAACTCCACAACCTAAGCAGAAAGAAGCAGTTTAGTATTTATAACCTGACTACTGCACCTTACGACTAAACAACAACTAAATAAAGATTTGAGAAGCACTATAACTGACAAAGGGTTTAATCCAAAGGGGGGCAAGTCAAAGCTGTTCCTTCTGTTGCTCCTCCTGTCTGGCTGAATTGACAACTTTAAAAATAAATAAAGATATATTTGAGACCAAGATTCCCTTCTTACTGTCAAATGAAGTATTTTAATACAGGAACTAGCATGTAAACAGGTAATTCCTCCTTATTAGCTAGAAGTTGCTCTGAAACCAAGGTAAAACTGTACCAAACTACTCAATGATGCTCAGTGTAAGAATCTGAAAACACCTAACTGCATGTACACAGAAAATATTTTGTCCCCTTTAACCCCCTTGAAATTCCTTTTCTTCATTAATCTGAAGTCTATGGAATGACAAGTGATACATCTGATGACCTAAATTACATTTCCATGATGAGAAGAAATACTAACACGATGTGGGAAAGGACGAGATAGCTGTAGGTCAACTAGGATATAAACTGCTCTGTAGATGCTGCTACTGGTGATGTGCAAGGCTTGAACTCACAGACTGATTCCAGAGCTGAAGTTAGGTGGCTGGGACAGCTTGCAGCAGAAAGCTGTGAACCCTCTATATAGGACTCATCACAACATTAGAATTGGAGTTCCACAATGTCATTTTTATGTAGTCTAATTCTAACCTAAGGATGCTGAGTTAATTTTCTACATTATTTTTATTTTAGCATGTTAAAGTCATAGAAGACTCCAGTGTTTTGAAATGGGTGAAGAGAACAACTTACTATTAAAAATATACCTCTCAATGTTTAATAAAAAATAAAATTAAAAAAAATAAATAAATAAAAAATGCATTTCTTTCAGGTATCATCTGAATACTAAGTGCAAGGTCCTGCACCCGGGTCAGGGCTACCACCAGCTACAGGCTGGGTGGAAACTGCACTGAGAGCAGCCCTGCAGAGAAGGACTTGGGGGTGTTGGCTGATGAGAAACTGAACATGAGCCAGCTTCAGTGTGTGCTCGCAACCCAGAAAGCCAACCGTATCCTGGGCTGCATCAAAAGGAGCGTGACCAGCAGGTCGAAGGAGGTGATCCTGCCCCTCTACTCTGCTCTCGTGAGACCCACCTGGAGTATTGCGTCCAGCTCTGGGGCCTCCAACATAAAAAAGATGTGGACCTGCTTCAGCAAGTCCAGAGGTGGGCCACAAAGATGCTCCAAGGGCTTGATGACCTCTCCTGTGAAGACAGGCTGCAAGAGTTGGGCTTGTTCAGACTGGAGAAGAGAAGGCTCTAGGACAACCTTACAGAAGGTTTTCAACACTTAACGCATAAGAAAGATGGGGACAAAGTTTTTAGTAGGGCCTGTAGTGACAGGACAAGAGGAAATGGTTTTAAACTGAGAGTAGATTCAGACTAGATATAAGGAAGAAATACCTTACTGTGAGGGCCGTAAGACACTGGCACAGGCCACCCAGAGAGTTAGAAGATACCCCATCCCTGGCAACATTCAAGGTCAGGTTGGATAGGCCTCTGAGCAACCTGATCTAGTGGAAGATGTCCCTGCCCATGGCAGGGGGATTGGATTAGGTGATCTTTGGAGATTCCTTCCGATCCTAACCATTCTATAATTCTGTTATAAATTACTTCATAACCACTAAGAAAGAAAATCCGTAAAAGCTTAAAAATGGTTGAAGAACAGTTTATCTGTAAAAGCAGACACAGAAAACCACTGTCAGCTTGTGATGCCACATGGCTGCAATAAAGTAGGCTTAATTATTCTCAAAAGAAGAAAATCACTCTAGAGAAAACTGATGTCTACCTCTTCTCACACGGCCAATTTTCCAAACACTGGAAAATTGGCTCACTATGAAAATATATTTACCTTGAAATAATGACTTCTAAAAATACCAATCATATCCAGTACTTCTTTATATATGAAGACAAATATTTACAGTCTTGGGAAGAGGATGTATTTTGGCTCAATTCATGTATCCTTTGTAGCTTTGTGATCCTTTTGCAAGGAACAACAAAACAGTTAAGTAATGAGAATAAAAGAAAGCCTAAGCTGTACCAGCATAAAAAAAACATGCACCAAATCAAGTATGTGGGTATTTGGAAGCAGTACTAAGCAGCCCATGCAACAACTTTCTCCATCCTTGATGTAAAAATCTCAACATAAAATAAAAAAGGAATAACTTGAACCTACTGAGCAGTTACTGTTCCCACAGACCACTGGCTCCCTTGCTGGCAAGGCAGAGACATCTGGCAGCAGAGTAGCACACTCTCCTGGAGCAAAGTGACATCTCTGCCCCACAGTGGAGGCAGCAGAGGGAGGGCAGGGCAAAGGCAAAGAGCTGGTGGCTGATGCAGTTTTCCAGCAGCATCCCCACACCAGACTGCTGCCTACCACATAAACGAGATGGAAGTTCAAACGGGTTGGGCGTGCAGCTGACTTTCCTACTGAGAAGGATTCTCCAAACTGTAGGCAAGACTCACACACCTGGCACTAAGAACAGGAAGCAGTGAGAAACTGAAGTGCTGGGACTAACCTGCTTCCCTTGTGCAATGCAAACAAGGAGAAGAGGAGACCAGCGCCATTTGAGCACCACAAGCAACAAATCTAGCTACCTCCCCCCTCCCTGCACAAAAGACAACCCCAAAAAAAAACAACAGTGCAATCAATTTAGTATGGGCTATTTTGGTCTGGGGTGGCAGAAAAAGGTGGTTTTGCTTCTCCCTCCCCTTTAGGTCCTGATCTGATCTCCTCACCACAGGCACCTCATAAGATAGAGCAAGGAGAGAGAGAAACAGCCCAGCCAAGTTGTAAGAAAGCCACCAGCCCAGTGACAAGAGAATGAATACCAATTTTCCTTGCATATCTTCCTTTCAGACACTGTTTAACCTCCAGGACAGCAAAAGCTCAGGCCAAGTGCAGCAGGGGTGAAGTAGCAAACACTGGTAAGTCCACCTGGGTACTCCTCTCATTCCTCCAGCATGCCTACTCTGCAAAGAAAGACTGTACTCTGGGAGCAAACGCTGCCTTAACCCCACTAAAGCCAGGTACACTTGAAATGGAGAAAAGACAGCATTACAAATAACTAGCAGCAGTGCTTGACATCAGACATACCTCCTCTCCTTCAGCAAATTAAGGACCAGGTGGGAGCAGGAAGGAAAGTGGAAGAGTCTCACATCTGTCCAGAAACACATTAATTCTCACCTTCAGCATTTTTCCTGAGCCACATCACAGGTCAACGAAATACAGTTTTTCCCTGCTGCTAGCAAGCACTTGGACAGAAGCCATGACTGGGAACACGAGGTAACTCTTCCCTCTGAAAAGGAGTTGCCTTGACTCTCCTGACGGCACTCTCCCTCCGCACAGAAACCCAGCTCGCAAATAACCACGTTTCTTATTTACACCCGTCATCATGAATTTCACAGACTCTTCTCTTTGGTCAGCACCCCCACCCTGGCACCCAGGAGGTGGTGCAGCCTGTGGCAGTACAGCTTTTGGTAACAGACAGCTTCATTGGTGGTGCTGCACTGGTCGAACCACCCAAGCATTGGCAGGAAGAATCTCAGGGAGACCTGGCCTGAAGAAGAGAAGGCCATCAGGGAAGCTGGAGGGCAGATTGATAACCACCTGCACATGCTGGAGGGACATCGGGCAGCTTTGGACTTAGCATAAGAAGTGCTGAAGGAGTGCCCCTACCCCACACATGCTCCCCAATGCATAACCCATTGCAACAGCATGCTTGTTAAACCCTTCGAGTCCTGCATTAAGCCACTCTTCAGAAGTGATGCAAACTTTGACTGCTTATCCTTTCACCACTCTATCTCCTTTCAAATCTTTTACCTCAGGGTCCTCTTTCTAATTTCAGCAATATTAACAAGAAACCCTAGTCTTCCTTTTCCTAACTCTTTCCTGCTCTCTCTGGGAAGCTCAGAAGAGTCCTCACAGTGCCTTCCATGCCCTGTCTTCATGAAGGACAAACTTCAGCTCCAGGCACCCAACACTCAGAACTAATGCCAACTGGTTGTGTAACCACATAAAGCTGCTGGACTTGTCACCATTGAGCTGCACTGCAAGGCCTTGCCATGGTGACCTTCAGGGCCCAGAACCAGAGGCAATCCTCAGGCCGTGCATCCCAAGGAAATCCTTAAGCTTTCTTCAAGGCAGACAAGATTCTCTTGTCTGGTGAGATGCGTACATCCTTCACAGAGCTGAGGACAGGTTCACTTCTCCAGTGGTTCATCCTTGCCACTTGTGTGAAGGTGGGGACAAAGGTAGTCTCCCTCAGACCCTGAAACCAGTGGGTCTTAAAGCATGAGCAGGTAGGTCTTCAGGTCTAATGTCCACAGTTCACAAGTATTTTTAAGCAGCAGCACTTATTTTATCTGATAGAGTTCCAGTTTGTAGAGAGTTCAGAGTACACACAGACCTCACATTTACCACCCCTCCCTCCCAGGCTGCTGAGGACAGCACTCTTTGAAGGCTTTTAATAACTTTATTTGCAAATCACATCCTTTTCACAGAAGAGAGCTCACTTCTTTCACTGAGGCACCAGGATGAAAGCAAGTGTTAAGAGCTTTCAGGATGCTGTCAGCTTTCAGAGGGTGATGTCCCTCTGAAAGTCCCACAGACCTCACCATTACCAAAGCTGTGTTCCTCTGCTGCAGGGTGGCACTGACAGCCCAGAATGTGAGCAGCAAAGCTGCTTTTTCCTCAAGGAAGCTATGGAAATCCCAGGCTTGCAAGATAGCTATGCTGCCTGCTTTGATTTGTTTCATGTTTAACATGAATTAAATGCCAATAACTAACGACTAAATCCTTAATCCAAACTTCTAATTCTGCAAATAAGCAAATGATCACTGATTCTCTGTCCCACTCTGGCTGAAAGGCAATCCTTCGCCCCTCTTAAGTAACAGTTTTCTTGAAATTCCAGCGGTGGTCATGTAAACACCCCATCAAAGAAGCAAATTACTGACTTGCAAATATTATTAACTGGAGTTTAAATTAGTAATGCAAAGCCTCTATATGTATAAAGGAAAATAAATAATGTGCCTGCCTGGACAAAACTAATACTGTTATTTAGCTGGGTTACAAATGTAAGTTGTTATTCGGTAACTAAATTAATTTGTTATTTATATTGTGTCTGAGTACTTCCTTTAACCACATCTTTTGTGGATCATTTCAAAAGCAGAATTTCATGTTTATTGCTACTTTTATCACAAGTTTGGGATGGTACTTTATATATGACAGAAAGCATTACCCTTTGAAGACCAAAAGGGATTGTTAAGTAAAAGCTACCAACCAAAAAAAGCCTATACAGCTACTGCTGTCAACTTTGAAAGATTATTTTTATCTTAAGGCAGCATGACAGTAACACACCCAGTCATAATTTAAACCACAAAGTGATGAAAAATTCACCCTGCCCCTATCTAAAGTTGTGCTAGTAAGGGAGATATTCAGTAAGCTCCTGCTATTTTGTACCTTCTGCAATATGTAGCCTTTAGTGCAGAGCTATCATCATACATTTCACTCAAGTGGAATAAAAGGGGAAAAAAATAACCCCACAAAAAAACTTCAAATGCCAAACCCAAGTTAACAGAAGAAACTTAATTTAGTTTACCCTGTAGAGGAATTTTAGCTTATTGAATTCTGCTCACTAAATGATGATTCACCTAGAGAATGAAAAACTCTGAGTGGGCTTTATCCTTAGTTGTGTAAACTACATTCCTAAATGTACTAAGTGTTTAAGAGCTCACAAAAGATAAAAGAGGTAATGTATACACTGCCCCAAAAAAAAAAACAAAACAGTTTTCATTCTGAGTCACTTGATCTTCAAAATTAAGTGAAATTTTCAACTTCAAGAAGAATGTTCTCTTAAAAACAAAACCAAACCAAACCAGAAAAGTAAATGGTCTGCAAGTACAACTAGCATAAGTTTTGTTTTGAATGGGCAACGTGAACTGCAGAGAATAAAAAAAATCCAGGCTTTGGACAAAGACTTAGACTAAATTTGCCTTTCCCTATCAGATCTGGAAAACTGTGCACTACCTTCATGGTTAAAGGTACTGATGTAATAGACACAAGAATGTGAACATTGGTCTCTGAAGGACCACACTGAAGTCTTAAAGCTCCCCATCACACCCCACTCAGTGCGGTTCATACACACAGAAGATACAGGGCATGAACCCTTGGCATGTATCTTCAGGAAGTACACAGCAACCTACATCCCTCATATTTAATACCAAATAGTCACAATGAAGAGCTATTCTGGCCTACAATAAAAAAAACAACTGCATGAAGAAATAAAAACTTATGTGTGCCAAACTTCAGTTAAACTCCTTCCTTGCCAATTTAAGAATAACTGTATGGTCTCCATTAGAAGCAATACGTTCCCACAGACATTTGCAGTAGAGGCAGGAAAAGTCTGAGAGCTGATCTGATCCAGCCCAAAATTCCCTCTGAGCGCTGACAGCTCTTCAGCCTGGTTGTGCAAAAGGCTGGCAGGATCCGCAGCTAACAGCTGTCAACAGAGCAACAGAATAATTGGTCTGGGACACAACCACCTGCTGTTATTTCCCCTGACCCTGATGATAGGGGTCCCCAGATGATGAGAGGGAAAGTAAGGGAGGATCAACACAACACAAAGCTGGACTAATAGGGTTGTTCTTCAGAATGAGCCTGGAGCAACATTCAAATCCACATCTCAAACAGTAAAACAAAACTGACCTTCACAAGGTCCATCTCTGCTACCCAAATCAGCAGAATTCTTTTAGCTTTTTCTCTCTCTTTCTGAAAACCCATACTCAGGTATTACCACAAACACTGTGCATCCCAGTTTCATTCACTATAATTGTGATCTATATTGACAGGGTTTCTTTCCTTGCGGAGGTGTTTTGAAGATTACAGTCACAAGACAGCCTGCTACTTCAGCACAGAGAACCCATGGATATTTTGCAAGCAAAACAAGAAAACCTCTTCAGGGCAAAACTGGGAAAGAGAGCATTCTTTAGGAAATATGAGGCGGCCAGGTGGAAAATGAGGCTTAAAGTTGCTTCAATTATTATCACTGCCTCTGCTGCTGAATGATTTAGGCAGAAGTCTTGTCCCCTTCATGCAAAGAATAGTAATCTTTTCTCATATACATGTATGGCACTACACATACACTATGGTAGTGTCTTTAACAGGAATGAAATGGCATAATGGTGTATAGAGCTGTTACAGGTATTTAACTAGAGAATTCTGTGGGAAAAGTTCTTTTTAAGGATTTTCTTCTGTACTCTGAACATCCAAAACTTGCATAAAGCAATAGAAAATTTTGGACATGCAAAACCTGACAGCTTTGCCCTTAGAGAAAAGATTTTAAAAATTAAAAAGTTTTAGAAAAAAGCAAAGTATCTTACTCCAAGAAGTACACTTAACTTTTTCTTGATGAAAATGGGAGTCATCCGAGAATGGACATAATCTTCCCTCTCATCAACACAGAGAAATAAAACACCAGAAATACTTACAATTCCTAAGGCAAGTTCTTTCTGCATCTGCTTTAGGCTATTTTGGCTGTAGCATTTATGTACTCTACTTATTTTGTGCATTAAATACCATAAATATCCCTGTTGATTTGTGATCTATTTGTAGGTTTCAACATACAGCTGTATTTCATTTGGTTGAGAGAACATTCTGCAAGTAGGACTTGTACACCAATACATTTCATGGATAATCATTATTATTTATGGATAAACCAGTGATGCTAACAGCTTTCCTCTATGCCATAGTTCAATTTTATGTTTGTGTACCTATACCTAAGCCTACCACTACAGGAGAGAGGAAGAACATTTATGTACGATTCACTTTGAAAACAGGTCAACAATCCTTTAGATTCATGTGGAAGGAATTTTGCACTCCCTTTGCAACACACAAAATACCTTTGCAGGCAAAAAACCAGCCATTTCTTCAGAGACAACAGACTTTTCTAAAAGACAATACAAAAATTAGTAAAAATATTTTCTCTCCTCATCAGTAAGCCCCCTCCCCAAATTAGCTTAACCTTCTGTACATACAGAACAACATTAAGTATTTCTCCATTTGCACATGCCTTTAAGGTTCTATTGAGAGTTGCCATCTGCACAAGGTATTTTGTTTGGCTTGCATGCACAAAAAATACATTCTGTTTAGCACATCAGAAAGAAAAGAAGAGTTAGTACTGAAGAATAAGGTACATCTCCAATCATGCAAGTTACATCCACCTACCTGTACTAGTGCGGTATGTGCCTGTGTGTGCTGGTTGCAGAGGATCCCCCTGACTCTGGCTGAGACTCCTCATAGGGGGCTTCTGATAAACTCTGTCTTCGTAAATAGGATCTATATGGTGTTCTGGAGACTGCAGTGCCCTTAACTCGGAGCCAAGGTGGCTGTGCTGGCTGCTGTAAGATGCCCGAGACCCAGCTGCAAATAGATTTATAAGAGACAATTAAGAGAGAGAAAAATAAACTGACAAATACAGGATGTGACTTTACTGAAAGTTTACTTCAAAGTAGTATATAAAAAAAAAACCAAAACAATCAAAACACAGAAATAAACGTTTTCAACATAAAAAGAGGAACAGCACGCAAGAGCAGCAACAGCTCCAGTTAATCACTTTAGTTACATCATCCAGTTGTCTGCATTTACTTCAAACCCTCACTTCTTCCAAGGAAAACTATGTATTTTGGTGAGATAGATATCATTATATCATCTCTTAATCAGAGAACAAAATCTGCCAACCTTCTCGAAAGCTGTGCAAGTGCAGGAATGCCCTAGACCAAAGGGGTCCACAGAAGAACCAGGAATGGGGGACAAGTAAGAAGCAGCAGTCAGAACTAGTTTCACGTCACACCCTATCTTTAGATCTATAAATGAAGTAACGTAAAGGCAATGAACAGATGTAGTTTTAAGAAGGCTGATCTTTTTGCTGTCTCACTAAAATATGACAAGATGGATGTGCTTTATCAGCATTTTGCCCTCAACAGTTAAAAAAAAAAGAAAAGAATAAATCATATTGCTAAGACTTTCTACTGAGAATGAAAATCTGTTTTAAGGATACAGCTTTTTATTAATATAAATAAGAAGAACAACTGGGACTGTATTAAAAAATCTTATTCTACTAATAAAAATACTATTTTCTATCATGTTATTTAAAAAAAGAGACTTGTATATTTCCAGCTGGGTTTACTTTCACCACTTGAATCTCTCTGTCACTTAGGTACTTCAGATCTGTGCTCCATTAGCAAGATCCCTAAGGAGAATCACAGGGAAGGCATACAAACATCACACATTATGAGGGCAGAATCAAGCCAGTATGCAAGCAACACTTGGCAAAGGTTAGGTCTATACAACAAAGTGATCACATGCTATTTATCCGTTTAGAAAAGAAAGCAACCAAACACAGAAGTGCTAATACGTTTGTGAGGTTAAAATCCTGGATGTGGGCAGTGTTCTACTAACTTCACTTGTACTGCTCAGACCATCAGTGCAGCCATTCCTGCTAAAAATCCCTACCACATTCATTGTGTCAGGAGTGGCTCTGTTACACAAAACACTAGTTATTTTTAAAATGCAAACCACACATATAAAGTAATGTGTGATGGCAACATGAGAGAAATGAGACAGATACACGAGCACAATGTTACTGAGCTTTAGTACAAATTGTCTGGAGGAAAAAATAATTTATTCCATTTCCTTCTTTCTAATCAGCTTATGTCATACATGTGTTTTCTTCCGAATTTTTCAGCACGCATGCTTTGAGTGGAACACCTTATTTGCATATTTTTCCCTTCAAACATTTTTCAGATTGACCTGCCATTAGCACAACACTGAAAGTAATTCTGTTGTTCTCAGTACTAGAAAGTCTGCCAAGAATCCCAAAGATGTATTTTACCTCTAACTACTGCAATTATCCAGGAAGTTGGTATTTTTATTACAGAATTAATTTCTTCATGGTCTGCATTTTCAAAATGCTCTTTAACCCTGCCTCTTTGAGACTGATTCTCAAAGCAGCTCAATGGCTCCACCAAAGTCTGGTATCCTCAAAAGTGCCCTAAAATACAGACTGTTACAATTACATACGAGTTTCACTATGTACTTGGTTCAAACTGTATTCAGAGAAAAGATATAAAGAAATGGAGAGCAGTATTTCAAAGGTTCAACAGAGCATCAACAAACCGGACTTGCTACAGAATAAAGACTTACACCCCTTCTACAAGCACTGTAATTCTTTTGTCCATTTACAAATTCACTTTGCTCTTTGGAACAACAGATTTGATTCCTAATCCTGTTTCCAGTGAACTGAAAGACTTTTCCCACTGCATTTAGTGGCAGTATAACCCAAATATTAAAATGTTCTCAGTCACGCTAGCCTTCTGGTGAGGTGGGCTTACTTTAACATCCTTCATACTCTGCCATTAGTTCTGACTTGCCAAGTGTTAATACTAGTCTAATACTAAACAGAAGGTTAGTAGTAGTTTATTACACCAACATTAAGGTTTATTTGCATACTGCACGTTACACTACTGTACTAAACAGTAAACATACGAATAACCAGAGAAACTTCTTGACCAAAACACATTACATCTCAAACAACCAAGACAAGGAAGACGTGACACATGACAAAAGAAAACCAATGTAACTTGTCTGAAAACAGCTAAATGGCACTCCAGAAATAACTTGAAGCACCTGAATAACACGATTATGGGTTAACACCCAAAAAAGAGGCTCGGGATTTAAAACTCTATCAGAGAGTAACTGCACTATTCCTTTCATATTTCAAGAAAACAAGGATTTCAACAGGTAATTAAAATATTTTTAATTTTAAAAACATGAACACTCAAATCTCAGAAATTAAATACAACAGAAGATGAACACACTTTATATACCTTTATATACTTTATGTCTCAAAAACCTTTTAGTTTAGTTTTAGTATCAGTTTCAAACAAAACTGATACTTTTCTACAGGCCTAAATATGCAATTTTACTACAGTATTTCCAAAATCATCAGATATCAGTATTTAAACACAAAACACTAGCAGCCTTTATCGTTCTTAAATCTAGTTAAAAAACAAACTAACAAACCAACCCCCAAAAAACAATCCAGAAAATTTATAAATAAGATGGAACACCGCCGTAATTCTTCATGTTTCTATTATGTTGATATCTAAAAAACTGGAATAGCAAATTCTGTTACCTATTAAAATCTCTTTTCCACTGTTCTTAAAATTCTTGCATGTATTAATTTATTCAAGTCTCAAGCTAGGAGCAACAGCTTTTTATGGCATGTTTTCCTAAATGTTAGTATCAACTAACCAATAGCTATCATAGCAAGTTATCTTTGTTGCCAGTGCTGTATCATATCCAGTAAAGCTCAAATTTCAGAAAAACTAAAGCACAATTAGAGCTGAAGTCAACAAAAAAGACTTACAGATTTTATAGCATTAAAAAAAAAAAAAAGGGGCTGTGATTGATTTCAGACAACTGCATCCTACCTCATCTACACACTCAGCCCCTCCACCATATTCTGCTGTTACTTATTGAGGACACTTGAAAACAGTTAAGACAATCAATCAAAGCAAAGACCATGAACTGTAAGAACTGATGCCCTGAGAGGTGCAACATGTCTCCTTGCCTGCATCTTGAGTTAGCAGCAAACCACTACATCCTTTACTACCTGAAGCTGCAAGCGGATCTGTATCATCTGCTTCAGAAACCCTTGCCTTAATGCAGTCTAAAGCTCACAGAGATCGGAAAAGCAATAAGGTCAGAATGGAAAAGCAGTAATCAATATACTACCAGGAAGCAATAAAACATCAGATTCCCAAGGTCCATTAGCGTTCTCACATCCAAGGAGGCTCACTGCCCTCAGAAGCAGTTTCCCTAAACCCAGAGGCATCATGAATGCCTAAACACAGAGGCATAACTCACCCCAAACTGCACTTGTCTAAACCGTGCTTTCAACCACCTGCCATCCCTTCACCCCACTAATAATGTCACAATGCTCTGGGTTGCCTGAAACAAGAGCAGTGATGGGGAGCAAGGCCACATGCAACTCTCCTGCGTATTCTGAAAATGGACTCATCCCCCCTCCCTGGCCAACCCTTCCCTAACAGCAAAGATCTTCCTCAAGGAAGTATAAAACATAAGCCCAAAGACAGGCCTACATACAAGTTCAAAGAAAACTCATTATTAAATTTTCAGTTCTGTAAGCTGTTAATTACAGATGATCTATTTAGCATCAGAGTAGACACAGAACTCTAATGACCATGGTTGTGAAGGAGTGGATTTTTTTTTCTCCCTTCTAGATTAAAAAACAAAACAGCAAACTCCCAAAACACTGAGAAGTGCTAAACTGTTATTTTAGAGTATGAAGAAACCACTTGATAATCAATTCCTCAAATAGTCCAACCTCTAGTTTGGCAAAAGACTGAGAAGTTATTTGACTGCACTGCCAGAGATGCATCACATCAAGCAGTATGGAAAGGACTGAAAGGCTAAGGCCTGAAAGTCTCTAAAATAATTGAGAGAGACATCAAAAGTGAAACAGGCAAGATAAAAAACAAACAAAAAAACCCCCACAACAAACAACAACCCCCAACCTAAATAGGGTACTTAGAAAAAAAAATAAAAATCAAACAAACCAGAAACTAATTAACTGGAAGAAGAAAGCACACAGAAGAGACTTTCCTGTCTTCTGGAGTCCTTGAGACTCAAACCTGATGGAAAGCAAAATGCGCCTTCTTCCACATGTCTGTGGAACTGGTAAAATTAGACTGTGGTTTGGCTTCAGCAGGGGTATGTGAGCCCCCAGCCAGGTGAATCACATTAGCGCAATGATGATAACCTAGAACCAGCCAGAAGTTTTACCAGATGAAGATACCACATTCCTACAACCTTTGTCCTCCCACATTCCAGAGGGGCAAAAGAAAGAACCCAAGAAGAGTGCAGTCGTTCCTAACTGGATCAAAAAGACAATCTCCACCCTTTACACTTAAAACCCCATCACCCTACTAGATGAAATCTATTCCTCACATATTCACAGATGTTCCTCAATAGTACAGGGAAAGGGTTGTTTCCTAGGAAAATGTTCTTTTTCTGACAAAGTTTCACATTCCAAAGGAAGACAAATACTGCACTCAGACAAGTGTAATGTGAGAGAAATACACAAAAAAAATCCCCAATTGCTCTTCAGAGCTTCTGCAGACTGTCATGGAAATAAATATAACAGATATACTTGAATGACACTGCTAATCTGACAGTTTAGGTCAATAAAGGTCAATAAATGCTGCCACTATATTGGCAGCATTTGTCATTTCAAGAAACTAAAGATACTAAAACTATTCAAATGAATGGGTACACAGGCATTTGCACACATTTTAATAAAGCCTGAACAGTTTTTATGCATGCCACTAGTGACAGCC